TGTGTGTGTGTGTGTGTGTGTGTGTGTGTGTGTGTGTGTGTGTGTGTGTGTGTGTGTGAGAGAGAGAGAGAGAGATATTTTCATCCATTTTAGATACTTATCAACTATCTTCAGTGCAACCTGTCAGTAGAACCATTAGTTTTCCCTTCTACACTGTTCACCTGTCTGCTGATCTTGTAAAGAATAACACTGCTTGTTTTAAGGTATCATGCCTGTTTCTCTACAATGCATAACTGGATTTCTATTTCTCAGTTACAGTTCCTTTAGGTGAAAGGCCCATGGCATGCTGTATGACAACTCCTGTTCACATGGGAATTGGAGAACAAGGCCAGGTCTTGGATATGCCCATATGGCACTGACTAAACCAACAGTTGTTACATATTTGCATCCAAAAGCAATATTTGGCTTCATGTAAGTAAAGTAACAGGGTAACTGAATTGTATAAAAGGCTGGGTAATGTAATGACTGTCATTTAGAGTTGAACTGTACATACTAAAGTAGAATAGGTTGCCATGGGTAGGGTGACCAGACAGCAAGTGTGAAAAATCAGAACGGGGGTGGGGGGGTAATAGGAGCCTATAGAAGAAAAAGACCCAAAAATCGGGACTGTCCCTATAAAATCGGAACATCTGGTCACCCTAGCCATGGGTCAAGAAGGGGATTCTCTTTCCTCCCACACTTGATATCCATCATTACCTCAGTGGCGTGGTGGTATATGACAGCAGATGTGATCAGCTTCTGGCCATTGCTGAGGGCAGGATCTCAGACAAGATGGACTTTTGGTTTGATCTACTATAGGAAAACCAATGGGCCAGATTCTTTAACGGTTTCAAAATCATTTACCCAACGTATATTGGGAGAAGCGTGCTAAAAATCGATATTATACAAGAGTAAAACCAGTTTAAATGAGAAGACAATTAGGTTCTCTGTTCCAATGCCACGGAAAAAAATGCATCACACAGTAGCATATCCTTGTCATAAAAGTGCTTTTCCCTTTGTCTTTATTTACACATAAGATACAGAACTCAGATCTCAGATGCACGCAGCAAAAAAAAGGAAAAATTTCCTCCAGATTATAAAGATTTGTCATTTTGCCATTACATTTATTTCCTCTGCTCCCTCTTGCACATTGCTTTCTGCGTCGGGGGGGGGAGGGGGCCCTCAGAGGAGTCAAAGGAGATCATTGTTTTGAAAAATACATTCTTCCCATTAAGGGGTAGAAAATTAATTTCCTTCATAGAGTCTGTAAGCATATTAATTTAAAACTGAACTCCACTGAACAAACACTGTGCACATGGCACACATTTCTCATACTGCTCACCAGAACCTGTTCCTTTGCTTTTCAGATTTTGAAACCTTATTGCAAACGGAGAACGTGAATTTTCTGTTTGTTTTTTTATCCCCATGCTCTGTTCCCAGAGCAATGCAAAGCTAAAAGAATTTCAAGACGAGAGGCCTCAGTCTCTTCCCATTCACCCAGCTGTTAATCAGGAGTAAATGGGGTTACACTGCTTTAAAAGTGTGATGCTTCCCTGAAAAGTGATAAGGTAAAAATGGCAGCTTCTTATTCACTAGCTGTGCACCCTAAATGCAGTTAGAGTCATAGCTGCTTATGTTAGTGACAAAATACTTTTTTCCACCTTTTACTCCAGTTAGCTCTGCAGAGGCAACGCAGCTGTGGGAGAAGCAGCTGGATTGTATTCTGTCTTTTGCATCATCAATCTTAGTTGTTAACTAAGGGCCTGATTCTCCACAGCCTTGAACCTTGTGTTGAGATTCATGCCGGTGCAAAGTGTGTGTAGAATGTTACCGTTTCCTTTTGGTAGCACTTTATATCCAATTTGAACTCATTTGGCATGTAAGTAAAGATCTACATAGGCTACAAGTCAGTGGGGAACCAGGCCCTGCTTTGCAAGGCCTAATTTGCCCTTGGTCACATCTGTGAAACTCCAGTGACAACAATGAGGTTGCAGAGGGTTAAGTGAGGGCATAAATTCACCCACAGAATATTAATAATGATGCACAAAACGGAAAGAACCCAACTTAATTTTCAAATGTTAGGTTGAGCTTCATTGCAAACTAAGCAATATGAAACACAATAAACATAGGTTTCAGGGTAGCAGCCGTGTTAGTCTGTATCCTCAAAAAGAACAGGAGTACTTGTGGCACCTTAGAGACTAACAAATTTATTGGAGCATAAGTTTTCGTGGGCTACAACCCACTTCTTTGGATGCATACAATAAACATAGAACCCCATGATATTTTTACAGAATCGCCGCTTATTGTTTTAAATGCAAAATAATTCAATCCTGCAGGATCATTAGGTAGGATATTGAGATGAGATTATTATGCCATGTGTTGGTTAAACCTTATTTGCGCTCTACATTCTCGAATGTAACTAGAAAGAGCCCAAAATTATTCATATAGGCAGAAATGTCACTATGGAAACAAAGAGCTAGTTTAATTTAGTTAGGCCAGTATCAACAAAGCCTGCTCTAATAAGCCCAATAAACAGGCACAATCTGCATTAGTGCTCACTGAGGAACAAGTAAGTACACTGAGTAAAGGTAAAAATGTTTGGGAGGGGAACAAAATGAAGAAGATATTGTACTTTCAAAAGCTTAGGGCATCAGCTGCAATCAGAAACAAATCCTTCAATATGAAACATGTAAAACAATTACAGATATATTGACAGTCCATATTACAATATTATACTCTCCAGCAATTCATCACAGTGCCTCACCATATCTAAATGAGTTTTGAGTGCCAGGGACAGCAACTTGTGCAAGCCTATGACCTTTGCAGAACAAAGTCTTGCTAGTAGCCTCTAGTCTAAACCAGCTAACATGTTCCACCCGTGCAAGCCCTTCTAAGTGATCAGATTTTTGTTGTTCTAAAGGCAGTAGGAGATTGTATTAATCAATTAAACTATTTTTATCTAAACACAGTAACCAGAGCCCGCTGTCTGCAGTCCTGAGCTCCACCTTTCAAGATGGAGAATGACTTTTGATCTCTGAAGCCGCACCCCACATCTTCCTGTAACAATAGCAGCTGCTTCACACAAGATTGGCCAGCTGAACACGTAGTCTTGAAAAGCAAATGTTGAATGTACAATGCAAACAGCTTTGTTAACGGAAACAAAGTTGTAATTGTTCGACTCCACATATGTCGGAGCAACATCTCAGGCAAGTATTGAGGCCCAATCCTGCTGTTACTGGACCTTGAATATGCGGCTGTTTGGGGAGAGTTTACTGTGCTGATTTTCCTCCTCCCATCATTCATTTCTTATGAATTTGCCTGACTTCACACAGAGTGCTCCACAAGAGATGCTGCTCTAACCATTTTCCCGGCAGATTTATTCTCTGTGGGGTCTTATTCTGTAGTCACTTGGCTGCCAGAGGAGTGAGAAGAACACATAGGAAATGTGATTGTCCCTGAAGAATAGCACAGGAAAAAATATCACTTTATTTTAGGCTATCATTCCTCCCTTAACAGCAAGCATGCTCATATATCACCAGTGTCTAAAGCCAATTCACACTGAAAATACAACTAGAGCTATTTAATGCCAACATTTTAAATGCCTATTAGACACTTAAATGGCTGTCTGGACACCAAATTGAGCACCTAAATGCAAGACAGGCATGTAGGTAATTTTCAAAGGGGTGCCCTTGGGTGCGAGCAAGGAGCCCCATTTGTGTGTTATGGGCATGGCCAAAGATATAGCTGTCAAAGTGGGATTTCAAAATGGACAGGGGCCACCTTACCCTAGCAAGGTTTAGATGCCCCAAGTTAAGCATGTTCGGAGCACATATTAATTGATCAGCTCTGGTTCAGGGTTCTTTTCAGGGTTAGATTAGCACTGGAGATGCAAAGTATGCTTTTAAAACCCTAGTAACTTGACCATATCAAAAATGCCTTTCACCAGACCATTAAAAGGTGCATCTATGAGCAATGGGCTATAACCCTGCCAAATGTATGCAGGACCTTTAACTCTTCTGTTCAAGAAATGTTGCAAACCTTTTTAGTATCAGCAAGAGTTGGGAGGCAGAACTTTAAAAGGGTGCGGGTTCACTCTCTTAATTCATGAGCAGCAACCAACCTTTTTAGCTCAAACTTTTAAAATAAAAATTGCTCCTGGGCTGGCAAGTCACTTGGCCTCTAACAGAAAGTGAACACAAAAATGCTCTGCCCTTTCAAAGCCTTAGCAGCAAGAGGGAAGACTTCCCTCAGCCATAATCCAAGATGAACGTATAGGGCCAATTTCTCCCCTCAGATATGCATGCATAATTGGCAGTGACTTCAGTGGAATTTTTGACCAAAAGAAGAGCGATTCCCCCGGCCCATCTGCCCATCCGTCACCATCATTGTCACCGTTATCATCGTCCTTCTCCTCCAGGGTTCTCATCCAGACTCAGCTCGGTTTCTCCATCAGCTTCTCCTCTGCTGATTTATAGTCCTTGCCTCTCAGGTAGGGGTTACCAATGAGGCGCAAAATGTAAACTTGTGGTGAGCACCTGCTTATCTACCCATCCTTCTTAGCAGATTAGCTGTTTGGGGAGGGGTTAGCTCCAGTCCTTTGTAAAGCCAGTGTAAAGTCCTTTCCTCCCATTTGCAGGAACTAGGCAGATGTAACTCTGAGGTAGAACAAAGAATGGGTTAGAGATCTGGAAACATCAATCATCATGTTTTCTTTCCTTGTTTGTGTGAGAATTGCTGTACTCAATTCTCTAAAGTGTTCTCTGTCTATTCTGCCTCATCCTGGAAAGCATTCTCTGATACTTTGTACAGAGGACACTACACAGTACATACAAAATAAACTGTATTGTAGACACTTTTTCTGTGTCTGGGATCACAGGGGCATAGATGGAATTAGATTAACATTAATCACCACATGTTGTACGCATCAGAGGCAAGATGTCAGGTGCCAATTGAACATGATTCTAGACAATGAAATCCCAGGCCTGCTCCACGTTGGTATTCTGCAACATCAAGGAAACATCATGTCTTTAAGCACTCCGGAGAAGCATCTCCTTAAGTGGCACTGTGGTTGCAAAAGGGGTTAGTCTGAACAATTGGAAATCCTATAATAAGTTGAATATAGTAGAGTGGTTCCTCTGGTAAGAGCAAACACGCAAACTAAGGAATAATTTTGTCCTGCGTGGGAGGGAAATCTGAGAAATCTGAAGAGATTTTACCTGTGTTCTTTCAGCTAGCTGAGTAATTAAACATAGGGCATGACTTATATCTCTCCATATATCTGCAATTGTCTTGGCTAACTTGCTTTGATGCATGGAGTACTGGTTGTGAATTTCCTAGCTCTGTGGGTTCCTCCTTCAATTCTTCTCTTTCTTCCCTGAAACAAACATAGTAAAATGATAGAGCGGTGGAGAAGGGTTTGTTTTCATGACTCAGCCAGTGTGTGTACACTATATGTTAGTTAGTCTTAAATTGTACATAATGTATTTGAAAATAGAATGTTATCCACATAATGCATGTAAGAAGGAAGGAGGCTTTAGGCTCCTGGTACTCAATTCTAAATGAAAAATGCCAAATGGTGATCAATTGTCTAGTGGGCAGAGCAAAGGACTGGCTATCAGATTTCCCAAGTTTTATTCAAATCTCTGCCACTGGGTTGTTGTGTAATCCTGGGCATGCCATTTATTCTCTTTGTCCCTTAGCTTGCTGGTCTGTAAAATGAGTATGATATTATTTACTCATCTCACAAGGTTGATTAATATTTGTCAAATTAGCTCAGGTTGGTAGTGAAAAGTATTGTTTTAGTGTTCCTGTGCAGTGCTGATAAGTGTTAAGTACAGTCTTTCTGTTTTATTCTTGTAGGTACCAATTTGCTTCAACAAATATATATATATAAAGGACCCAATAGATTAAGAATTAAAGCAACTGGCCAAATTCTGCCCACAAATGCCCAGCATAAAACTTTTAACCAGGAGCATGAGCTGTTTACTTCTATTCTAGCTCCTACCGACACAAGTGCTGCCAGGAGGGTCTGTATGTTTAAGTGTGTACCACATACCCCAAACCTAGCAGTTACCCCTATCCACATATTACTACACTGGTAACTTATGTTCCTGACTGTAACCATCTGTATGGGGATGAGGTGCATGGAGCAGCTTCCAGCCAACATATGGTTGTATATTAGCACTAATTCTGCAGTGTAAACAGGTGCTCATTTTGTGGCTATTCTGTGTTATACAGGAGTTCAGCTTGGTATCAACAACAGGATAAAGGAGTGACTTGTTCTCTGTACCTTTAGAATCACTCAGCAACGCTTCTATCTCTACCCCTCTCATTCTGCCTTTTTACCACAACCTCACTTCCCTACAACATCTTAGAAGACACTGTCCAACACAATCATGACAAAAATCATGTGGCATTGCTAACAGACATGGTTTTCTCTCCCCCCCAACCCCTGAAATTAATTTTTAAAGCCAAGCAATTGATTCATTCTATTTTTCATTTTTGTCTTTTCTTCTGCAGCCCATCATTCCTCAAATTGTCAGTTAAACCATTCTTTCTCTTAAAACAATCATGTTTATTAAATTGGAATGATTGATTTTCTAATCCTGAAAAATATTAATGTCTTGATGCCTTGTGGGATTGCATCTCTGATCTAATCATTTCTCCTACATGGAAGACTTCTGGTTCTAGGCTGCTCAAAAGTAGTTAAAATAAAACCAAAACAACCAACAAAAATCATTGACTTTGAAGGTAAGAAGGAAGGCAATTTTCCAATATTTCCATTATCTGATTCAGATGGTGCAGCATATGGGATAGAATTTGTAAGGATCATCATTCCCTTTTCATTATATGTGTGAAAGTTTATAGTATGACCTTCATCTTGGGTCCTTAAACTTCTCACTTCCTTAAATACTCTATTGTCATTGAGATGAAATTGGAGCCATATATTAAGAAAGAACAGTACAAAAGTGCAACAAATATAACTGAACAGGAGGAGTGGATCTTACAGCACTTCCAAATTCCTCCATGTTTGGAAATGCAAGCATTTTATTTCAGTTGGTTAAAATAAGCAGAATTTCTAATATCTTCCCCCAGAGCAGAAAATGGAACTAATACCTCTGTAAACTGTAACATCCGTGAGAGGAAGTGGTCTTCATCATAAGTTATATTGAAGATGTTTTCATTTTCTTACACTGTTCTTTGTTTTCAATTCATCTGTGCGAGAAGGATTTCCCTTGGAGAACACTGAAATTAAAGACTGAAGCTAGAATGAATTAATTAATTTTACTGCACATGTTATTTCAACTGTCTCTTCTTTCAGTAAAAAGATGAATGTAGTTTGCTGTAGTCACCATAACAATGGTTCTGATCAACTACACTAGGGAAGATTTTAAAATCTGATTTTAGCAGTTCTCAAGGACTTGTGTTGTAGTCTTTCATTTCTCAATGCTAAGAGTAAAACATTCATTAAGGAGTAAGGGCTCAGTGTCCTAAGTTACAGGCTTCAACTAGGCAGTGAGCTTTGCCAAGCCTATTGATTCTGTCTAATATTTCTCCCTATTTTTTCCTCGTGATTGGATATGTACTCCATATTGACACTAAAAGAGTTAACTGGAGACAGCAATTAATGCCTCTGGTTGCACTGTGGACTGGTCTGGCCCAAATGAAGAAGAAGCCCGGCTGGGTGGTGAGCATAAAAGGAGGAAACCCAGATGAGAAAGAGACTGCAGAGAGAAGCAGGAAGAACTCTGTAGGCCCTCTCTGGTCACCAGAGGGTGGAGCAAAGACCTAGAGGCAGATGTACAGTAAGCTCAGTGAGGGGCTGTAGGAAAGGGCCTGAGGGAAAGCCAAGGTAGGAAGAAGATGAGTCTGAGGGCGGAGACCTTAGTGGCTCACCACAGGGTCCTGAATGGGAACCCAGAGGAGAGGAAGAGTCTGGGTTCCCCTACTGGCCCACTGGAAAATGGAGTGCAGAAACACACTGGTGCAAGTGGGGAGAAGGACTATTGAGTTTGGAGCCAATCCTCCAGGGAGAAAGTCTTGGGATGTATCATTCCACACAACAGCAGGAGGATGACCCTGCAGTATCTGGGAAGGGGTGAAGAGTCTTCGGAGAAGAGAGCCCCGATGGGGTGAATAGTTACGTGTATTTGAGTTTAGTTTTTTGGATTTTGTTTATGCCAGAAGGGGTGGCACTAAATGTTACCTGTCCAGAAGGCTGAGTCATGAGAAGAAAGACCACTCTAGGGCTGGAGCAGCTGTCAGCAGGGCAAGGCCAAAGGACATCCTGCCATGCCACACCCAGCCATGAGTGGGGCATGCCAGAGGTGAGTCAATTTGACATTCCTCACTGTAGAATCTCTTAAAATCTAGTCAAGATATAGTAATATATAGAAAATATAGAGAGACTATACTATATAGAGAAATATAGTAGTCAAGAGCCATCTCATCTAATCTACTGAATTTCTAAGCACCACTATATCTGTTTCAAATTTTAGGACTATTCCTGATCTGGCATCTTTCTAAATTCTTTCTTGTCCTTTCCCAATCTGGCATTGTCTTTGACATAGGACTGTGGGGAGGGTTTCTTTTCCATTCAATACTCACTAGCCTGAAGGATGAGATTTTTTGAGTCTGCTACTGATCATGATCCCCACCATAGCAAAACAATTAATTTTAACAATTTTCTGTTAAACTTCTAATAATATGATTAAGAGCCTCCTAATAGCCATCTGCCTTTAATGTGTTCAGTGAAAGTCTAAGTGTGGAAAATATTTTAAATAACAAATTGATCTTCCTCTGACTGACACGGTCAGATTCACCTTTTTGTTTTGACCAATGCAAATAAATGGTCTATCTATCAGTCATTTTGAATGTCCTCCAAGCATTAATCTGAAGAATCAAGCAGGTTGAATCCACCAGTCAAGAATGGCATCCTATGGGCTTTTAAAATCTAAATGAATATCATCCCCTAAGGAGAACACTAAATTTTACACTGCTCATTAGCAAAGTAACTATTTGAAGAGTGCAAAGTACAATGTGGCCTAATGCTGAAGCTGCTATTGCAAAAACAAAGTGCTATCCTTTGAATTCTGTGTGGAATACGTATAAAATAGGGATAATTTGAAAATGCATATACCTATATTATAGATCAAAAGAACTTGCCATTGACTTGTTTTCAGTTTTAAAGCCCATGAGGGTTTTTATTACATCCATGTGCTTAAATTCTCAAACCCCTTGACAATGGGGCTATAATTAGACAGGGAATCAGTTTGCTTAATTCTTCTGGTGGTTCACAACACACTTTCTCAGGGCCCAATCCAAAGCTTCCCCCAAACTTTAAAGGGTGTTAGGCAGAGTCTTTGTGGAACAGCGAAGAATTGAAACGAAAACATAACTAGCAAAAAGTCAGTGCATACCATGATAAATACTAGCAATGAAGACTGTTGTTGCTTTCCTAGGAAGAAAATTCCTTTCCTATTTCCAAGTTGTATACCTTCTTTCAAAAGTGGCACTTAAAAGTATCAGCAAAAGATTGTGCCTTTAGACCTTAGAGTTCACCAGAAAAATCCATTATGGATATACATCATCATATTTTTTTCAAAGATCAGCTAAGCAAGCATTCAAGCTCTGGATCCAGCAATGCTAGGTCTTTGTTCAAAACACAGCATGCACCTAGACCCCATCTCTTTAATGAGAGCTCACTGAAGATTAATGTTCTCCATATGTCTTTTAAATAGATTCTAAAAGGCTGACCTTCTCTCTGAAATTGTCCCTCTGAGATATAGGGCAGTACGATTGTTCCTTTCATTTTTAATTCTGATTTGATTTGTCATTCAAGTCACTCCCTCTGTGTTTCTACTGAATGTATTTTAAATAATAAATTTTAATTTAAAAAGGCCTTTAAATGCATTTCCCATTATAGAATCCCATTATCCATGGCTGAGTTTCAGAACTACTGTATGGTATGGAACTCCTCAGTGGTTTCATATAATTCCACAATATATTTCTGTCATTTTCGGAAGGAATGTCTTGGTTCCAAGTCTGATAGTAGCAAGTAGTGGGGCCTTTTATCTGGCACATTCAGTGCTTTGGAAGGTGAAGCAGTTAGAGTGGAACTCCCATGGCACCAATCAATTATATATATTTCTAAATTTAGAAAATATTTTATTTCTCCTTTCAACCAAGCGACAGGAAGAAGCTGATTTGCTGTTTAGCAGAAATCTCCTCTGAATTTCTGGGATGATGAAAAAAATGAACACCAGGTAACTCCCAGTCCCAGAACAGTCCTCACTCATTCCTAAAACATAAACAAGCATGGCCACTAATGAGTCATTATTGTGCTGGTTCAGATCATAGACCCCAGTTTTCTGATGCTGGCAAAGACGTAATAAAGTGGATCATAGAATCATAGAACTGGAAGGGACATCGAGAGATCATCTAGTCCAGTCCCCTGCACTCAGTGCAGGATTAAGTATTATCTAGACCATCCCTGACAGGTGTTTGTCTAACCTGTTTTTAAAAATATCCTCTGACAGTGTTTATCCCCAGGGGTCTGAGTGGTGCATTTTTATGGATGAGCTGAGGGGCCCAACCCCTAAACTCCACAGATTCCCCCAGGATTTACATGAAGCCAGGTACTTTGCATCAGCTCTGTGACCAGGCAGCCCTCTTGTTCCTTATTAGCACTGCTTCCAAAAAATCACGCTACCAGAGACTATTCCTGGCCATCATTATCCCTGCAACCCCATGAAATGGACGGTTCTCCACCATGGAGGGGTTCTATCTTTCTGTGAGAATCTCTGCAGGGCTTGCGCAGGAGATGTGTCTCTCTAGACCTATCCCCACACAGCATGGGGCTACCCACTCTTCACCTATAGCTAGCTCTGCTCCCTCACCACATATGATTCCAACCCCATGAAAATTCTGTGTGAAATCTTAGAAAGTTGAGGACTCTGCCACAACGGCAATGCCCTCCTCTCCGTTTCTGAACAGGAGCAGCTGGTGACCCACACGCGGATGCACCTCTCTGTGCACAGAACTTGGGGCAGATGGAGAGGAAATACTAGCAAGAGAACCATGAACCTGTCTGATTGCAGCATAGCAAAAACAAAATGTCACCCATTTTTGTCTGCTGGGAGCTTTGCATGAAAGAGCCCAGGCTAATATCTATGAATTAAAGGCATGGTAGTGACAATACAAGTGGTTTTGCAGTGGATAAGCAATGGCTATGCTTGAGTTACATTTGATGGCGCGCTTCTAGGTTGCATCTTCAGCACCATGTGGATGTGTTTCTGTAGCTGGTATTATCCAGTAATTGTCAATCTCTCTCACTACATGAGCGGAGTACAATATGTCTTTAGCCCAAATAGAGATAAAGGACAGTACACACCAGGTGGCACCCTGGCAATTTTTTGTCATCCTTCTCCTAACCACTGAATAAGAGCATTTGCTCCTTTGTGGGAAACTTCTAATACAATTGAACTTTCTTTTATACCGTACTTTTGATAGAAGTTACAAGTTCAAAAAGCTCTGTGGAATTAAAAATTATAAAGGAGTAGGCTGTATACAGTGAAAGAGAAGGAAAGTTGTTTAATACTAGTGGGGGGGAATTAAGGACTTGAATCTGATTTCACTTACATTGGAATAAATTGAGTACCCCACTGAAGATAAACTCTAAGGGATGAAGGTGACATGCGAGATCAGAAATTTTCCCTAAGTCAGTGTCTCTCAACCTTTTGGTTGGTGACCCCTTATTAAAATTCAGAAATTTTCATGATCCTGTTACATGTACTGTAAGAGTAAAAATATATCAATTATAACAATAAGCTTATATCATGTATTTGTGTGTGTATGTATTTTGAGAGGTTGACAGAGAATACTTGACCTTGAAGGGTCAGGGTGTGTAAAGAGTGGGGGTGGAAGGGAATGGGGATTTGCTTTGCTTTAGATCAGGGATAGGCAACCTATGGCACGCATGTAGAACGCAGCACGCGAGCTGATTTTCAGTGGCACTCACACTGCTGGGGTCCTGGCCACCGGTCCGGGGGGCTCTGCATTTTAATTTAAATTTAAATGAAGCTTCTTAAACATTTTAAAAACCTTATTTATTTTACATACAAGAATAGTTTAGTTATATATTATAGACGTATAGAAAGAGACCTTCTAAAAACGTTAACATGTATTACTGGCACGCGAAACCTTAAATCAGAGTGAATAAATGAAGACTCGGCACACCACTTCTG